TCTACAGAAAATGTCAGACTAGCTTCTCTCTCTTTCCAGTTTGACTTCCTGAGCCTAACACTTTCTACATATTCCATTTTTTTCCATAGTAAGGAATCCTTGACGTGTAGCTGAATACACAGCTGCCTGGAATAAAGACTACATTTGCAACTAGGAATGACCATGTGATAAAGTTCTAGTCATTGAAATACAGGTGAAAGTGCTATATGTTAGTGTACGGATATATATTCTAAAAGGAAACAGTGCACAGCCTTTGCCTCTTTTTCTCTCTATTCTGGATGTTCTAACGTAAGGAATTAGCTGAAACTCTAAAAGCCATTTTGGAAATAAAGTTTTATCTTGCTTAAGTAACTTTTTTTTTTTTGGAGGCTTTTCTTTAACTGGAAAACCAACTGAACCCTGTTGTTGATGCTGTTAGCTGCCGTCAAGTGGGTCTCCAACTCATGGCGAGCCCACACACAATGAAACAAAATGCGGCCTGGTCCTGCACCATCCCCATGATCGGCTGCGGATTGGACCATAGTGATCCACAGAGTTTTCATTGGCTGATTTTCGGAAGTAGATCACCAGACCATTTTTCCTAGTCTGCTTTATGCTGGAAGCTCCACTGAAACCTGTTGAGCACCATGGCAACATTCAAATCTCCACTGACAGGGTCTGAGGTGCGCCGGCTGGGTATCAAACCCAGGTCTTTCCTATGGATGACAAAAATTCTACCACTGAACCATTACTGCCCTCTAACTGAATCCTAGATAACACAAAACCACATTTTTAATACTATACTACAACTAAAAAAAAAACCACTTGCCGTAGATTCGATTCCAGTTCATGGTGACCCTATGTGTTTCAGAGTAGGACTGCCCTTCATAGGGTTTTCAATGTCTATGATACTTTGGCAGTAGATCATCGGGCCTTTCTTCCAAGATGCCTCTGGGTGGATTCAAACCACTAAACTTTCATTTAGTAGCCAAGCACTCAATTACCTTGAGATAAATAGTTACTCAACAATAAGTAAATGAAAAATAAAATGCTAGAAAAAAAAAGAACCCTAGAAGAAAAGATCACATATACTATTCCTACTGTTTTCACCTAACTTCTTAGAATAAAAGGAGTAACTTAAATGTTCCCCCCCACTCCCCGCCCCAAACTGGGACAGTTTAAAACCCTGGTAGTATACTGGTTAACCAAAACAGTCGGCAGTTCAAATCCACCAGCTGCTCCTTGGAGACCCTATGGGGCAGTTCTACTTTGTCCTATAGGGTTGCTATGGGTCAGAATCAACTCGATGGCAACGGATTTGGTTTGGTTTTTAACAGGGATAGTTAGTATGTCTAGTGTAGGCAGATAAATTCCATACATATATTATTCTCTCATTCAGCAAATATATATTAAGCACCTACTATGTGCTATGTGTGGCAGTCTGCTTCTTTTCTGTGAAGATTTATGGCCTTGGAAACCCTATGGGGCATTTCTACTCTGTCCTATAAGGTCACTATGAGTTGGAATTGACTCAATGGCAAAGGGTTTAGTATTGGTTTTTTATGTGTTATGTACTAGCATGCTAAGATTGAAAAGATCTCTACCTTAATAAAGCTTATATTCTGGTGGAAATGTGAAAGGTAGTGGATATTTCATGGGGGGAACACATGAATAGCTTAGCTATTTTTCCACTGTTAACACCGTCTTTTCTTCAAACAGAAATCAACTATAACTAAGTTCTTCCTTTAAACTGAAGGTTCTGAACAAGAACCAGTGGAAACTAACATCTGTTGCAATTAGATTAACTATTTCTATGAACATTTACTTATGAAGAAAGTGATTTATCCATCTTTTAATCCTACAATACAAAAAAATCGACATTTCATGTTTCTAACATTTGAAACTTAATTTTTAAAGAATAAAAATGAACACAGAAATGACTTTGACATAGAGAATAAGTTTGGGGAAAAAATTTACTCAAGAAACTTTGAGTCTACAGGAACAGAGGTAATCCAGTCATTTAAGAAATTTATTGATCAGTCCATGAAAGGAAGTGAAAAAAGTGGTGTCTAAATAAGATAAAGCAAACCAGATGATGAAAACGCTCAGGTTATTTCTGCAACAATGGGCTCAAGCATAACAACGACTGTGAGGATGGTGCAGGACCGGGCAGTGTTTCGTTCTGTTGTACATAGGGTGGATATGAGTCAGAACTGACTTGACGGCACCTAACAACAACAGGTTATTTCTAAATCTGCCAAGGCATCAATGGGAACAGATATGTACTCCACCATCCACTGATAAAAATTAATCTTGGGGAATAAGGAGTTGTGGATATGGAGGTTGTAGACATGAAGGTTAGCATACGTGGGCATGAGAAGAACAAATTCCCACTAAATTCTTCCCTAGTAGGACAGACACTAGTTCAGATCTGGATTTTAAATCTGGAGAATATAACACCACAAGAAAGAGAGCGAACTAGAGGAGGAGGGAACCTCACCAAGAGCAAAAGAACAAGTTACATACCACCTATGTTTTCTTTCAACTCATAGCGATCCTATCGGACAGAGTACAACTGCCCCATAGGGTTTCCAAGGACCACCTGGTGGACTCGAACTGCTGACCTTTCGATTAGCAGCCATAGCTCTTAACCACTACACCACCAGGGTTTCATCCTGACAAATGGCTTGGAAAACAATGGTTTTAGCAATTTCCTCAATAGACCTCTACAAATAAAAGTAATTACTATATACCTAACTTTTTTTTTTTTTTTTTTGGTGATTTTTTATTTGCTTTTATTCTCTTGTTGAAAATATACACAGCAAAAAATACACCAACTCAATCATTTCTACACGTACAATTCAGTGACACTGATTACATTCTTCGAGTTGTGCAATCATTCTCACTCTCCTTTTCCGAGTTGTTTCTCCCTCATTAACATAAACTCACTGACCCTTAAGGATCCTATCTAATCTTCTGAGTTGCTGTTGTCACTTTGATGCCATATAGATAAGTTCTTGAAAGAGCGTAATGCTCAAGGCACACTTTTTTTTACTAGTTAAGCTGAACTACTATTTGGTTTTAAGATGACCTCAGAGGATAATTCTGGTTTAAGGTTTAAAAATGATCTCAGGGCAATAGTTTCAGGGATTCATCAGCTTCCTTGGCTCCAGAAAGTCTAGAGTCCATGAAAATTTGAAATTCTGTTCTGCATTTTCCTCCTCTTGATCAGAATTCTTCTATAGAATCTTTGATTAAAATGTTCAGTAATGGTAGTTGGGCACCATCCAGTTCCTCTGGTCTTGTGGCAAGGGAGGTAGCTGTTCATGGAGGCAATTAGCCAAACATTCCATATCTTCCTCCTATTCCTGACTCTCCTTCTTCCTCTGTTACTCCAGGCAAATAGAGACCAATTGTTGTGCCTTGGATGGCCGCTTAAGAGCTTTGAAGACTCCAGGCACTACACAATGAACTAGGAGGTATATACCTAACTTTCCATGAAAGAGGTAGTTTAGGCATTTCAAAAATAAATCCCTTGAACGAGACATTTCGCATGGTAATTTATGCAGTGGAAGGCCACAGTGAAATATCATGCATTGCAATATAAACAAACTGCAGCAAAACATGCATATACAAGCCAAGATACAGTCAGTACATATGCTGAAATTATAGCATAATTTAGGAGGAGAAAAATATATTTATAACAAATAATAAAGTATGATTATTCAAATACAAGTCAAGATAACTTACAAGTAGTGCTTTTAACATGTACATTGAAGGGTATTAATATTGCAAGATTAAAAAAATTAATCTATGATGGGGTATCCTTCAGATACATATTTCTGATTCCCAGAGGATTCAAAATGGTTATTACATATATTAAGATTTTATAGTGTTTTTAATATCTTTTACATGCACGGGATGACTAGACTAATAACTTTCATAATCTGTTGACTGTCGAGTATTTTTGATAAAATTGAATTGGCAGCTGAATTAAACTGTCATATAAAAATATATATGTCACCAAAACTAGTTATATTAACTAAAGTTAATGTTCAATGTCAAAAGAGGTAAAGATTAAGGATGGCAATTCTCTGAAAAATGGACCTGAAAAGACAGAGACTGAGACTATCTAATTAATAGAAAATAAACCATAGACAACAGAGGTTGTTAATCTGGGGTCTGAGATCTATTTCAGAGAATCCCTTTACACCTTAAGTTTTATGTAAAATTCTGTGTTGGCTTTCATCAGATTCTCAAATGGGTATGAGATCTAAAGACAAACCAGAACACCTAGATGGGCTGTGATGATCTTACTGTTAGCTGAACAATTCCACAAATCCGAAGTCATTCAACAGCAAATACCTAAATAATAGCACTTCATTTTCATAAAGTTACAATGAATTTACCTCTTCCCAAAGTAGTTTGAAAAAAGACCCAAAGCTGACACCAAAAACTATCACCTCAAAAGATTTAGCATACTACAGTACTACATGGAATTTTCTATTACAGTCAAGACCAGACGAAAATCATGGTACTGTTTCAGCATTAAAGAGAGAAGAGAATCACACATATTTCTCTAGACATCCCCTTTATAAACTTATTCCTCATATCAAGACCTAGTAGCAAATTAAGAAGAATATCTCAGATTGAATCTTAAGAGTCAAATGCAAACGCCACTCCCCACATGGCTACAAGAGAGGCAGGGAACAGGCTTCTCCCAATCCCAAGTGGATGAAGCTAATACGTGCAAAGTTACAGATGAAAGACTTTCTGCACCTGCGAAAAGGAGGCGGGGACCTCTCGCGTCCGACAGGGGGGCTACTGCACGTGATAGGCCCCAGATCTTAGCAGATGCAGCCCTGCCAGATTGCTGTGGTGATGAAATAGCAATTCAGCAGCAGAGGTAGTGGCAAAGGCAAGACCTGTACCTCCTGATGAGGAGCTACGTGGCACTAAGCAAATAGTGCTTCGTCTTCCCTACCCTCTGCTTCCGCCCCAACCATTTTCCCTTTGGTTACCAGTTGCTCCAGATGCCGTAGAGCAGTTCCACAAATGCGAAAGAGAGATTCAGGCAAAGGAAGAAAAACAGGTTCCGGGACGTCTTGTCCGACAGGATAGACCTAGGCATGACAGAAGTGGGGAAGAGTCGGGAGAGTCAAGGGGAGCCGGAACCCCGAAGCTACGTCCCCATTTCAAGATCCCCCCCAATCCACACGATCCATTTCTCACGCTAGGGAAGGGCGGGGAGTGGGGGGTCTCTGACGCTCCCTCCCTGGTCTCGCGCCGCCACCCTTAAGTCTGGGCCTTCTTCCCCACTGCCGGACACCCCCTTCCCGCAAACACCGCACCCCGCACCTAAACCAGCCCGAGATCTTGCCGAACAGATTGAACTTGGCTGGTTTGTATTCATCGTCCTTGATGGACAGGGGTAACATCTTCTCCGCCCGGCAAAGGGCCGGGTCTACTCCCCTCTAGAAGTGGCTCCGTGTGGTAGTGACAGTGACGGTGGTGACCGCTCAGACGAGAATTCCCAGTGCTAGTCCCGGCCTCACGCCGCTTCCAGACACAGGCACACACCCGGGAACTCGCTGACTTCCGGCCCGCGCCGCGCAACGCGCCCTGGGACGGGAAAGGGGGGAGGCGGGGCCGCGGGCGGGTGGGGCCTACGGCGGAGACTAGGTGGGGGTCGCGGCTGGGCAGGTTGGGGAGGTCTGAGAAGTTGACATGGGGGCTTGAGAAGTTGTCCTGTGTAGGACTTCCGCCACCTGGGCTCCTGAAGACTATCTGAGGTGGCGGACCTGTAGATTGGGCGGGCTGGGAGGTTGAGACCCCGCTCACGCCCACCCCGACCGTCTACCACCGGTGTTTTCAGATGCACTAGCATCCGACGCGTCCCCTTTCGCCATGCCCCTCCAGTTGGCATTGGATTCCGTTGCATTAGGTGGCAATGCTTAAGAATCCCGGAGGCGACTTGTTCTCTTGATTTACCAGTCTGCAGGAAGTGCATGTGATGGCTTTGGGCACCAGAACCTAATCACTCCACTCCACCTCTGAAAACAGCGCCTGACCCTGGCCTGCCACTCAGGAGGCCATCACTAAATGTCTTTTGAAAGAAAGAATATTGTGTTTAAAAGATGCCCGTTAAAGAAAGCTTCTACGAGACCTTTGTTGAATTGAGGTTTGGTTAATGCATTGCTTCTCTGACAATCTCAATCCGCAGAAATTCTCGAATTCGTACAGATCCCTTTCGCTTCCAGGTCATCCCCGGGGCAGCAGTTGGCGGCTATAATGCTTGTCAGACCCTCACTGTCGATTGCAGGCAGAAGCTGACTCGTGGGTAAGACACGGGGGCGTACAGACTGTAGGGAGGCGAGCCCGGCGGGCCTCTCCCGGGCACCCACGGGCGTTGGAAACATTCCTTCGGGGGGCCTTTCCGGGGAATTGTTTGGGTAAGGTCATGTGCTCCGTCACGTGAATGATCAAAAGTTGCTACCTCGGGGAAGAAATAGAGAAAAGAAGGATTGACTGTCTTTAGAAGGTGCGCTGGAAACTACAAAACCGAGCTTCTCGGGAACTGCCTTATAGTCTAACAGGAAGTGGAGCGTCACCGAAAGGGAGGAGCGGCCACTCGAGGACTGTCTCCCTGCTCCCGGCGCTCACTTTGCGTGCGGCGGTTTTTCCAGGCTATCAATCCAGCGAATGAGACACGGTAGATGCACGCTGCTTGGTTTAGAAAAAACAGAAATGAGCAAGTGAGTCGCCCCTTCCGTTTTAGGATAACCAAGCTGCAAGCAAATAAATCGGCTAGCCCCACTGCATTCTTCTGCACTTGAGGTAAGGAGACGGCAAAATGCTCTCGTGTTACAAAAAATTTTTGCAAGGAGGGTATATTCATGTTTTGCTTTTGCTCTTGTAACTTTGTGTGTGTGGCGGAGGGAAGGGACAGGGGAGAATGTTAGTAATTCGAGGATTTTACTTTTGAAAATATAAAGTGCTTATTCTAATTTTTTTTGTTTTTAAATATTCATGTTAATTAAAACTGTTGTGAGGAGAGACAGCTAAGTTCCAGAAATTAAGTTTCAGAAAGAATATTTTGTCTCTGCCTTTCTTGGCGTATATTTCTTTATTTTAATAGGAACATGGAAGTATTTTCAATTAGTAGCGCGTATATTTTTAGGAAGCTTTTATAATGTCAGTAGACTGAATTTTACTCTGCTGCACTGCTGGGGAAACATCAATTGGTTGCAAACTAGGTAGTTTAAGATAAATCTTTTCCTGGTATTGGGTTTTTCTCTGAAACTGCTTTTTTTCATTATGATGTAACTAATGGGGAAAGAGGGGACATATAGAAATAATCAAATTTTAGCAAATGATTTCCAGTATTCTCTTCACTCATCAAGGTCAGCTGCAATATGAGCCTGTATATTTTATCCTGTGTAGGTATGAATCAGAAATTGTTCAGGTGGTTTATGGAGAAACAAAACCTGCATTAATCTTCTCACAGATCGTTTTGAAATATGTTAGAGAAATTGAAGTTTAATTTCTGTTATATTGGTTCCTTGGGACTCCCAGGTTAATCGCCTACACCCCAAAGATATAAAATAGATATTCCCGTGAGGACCTTTCCTTTCAAAAAGTGGCAATGCTGTTTTACATCTTTCACACCTTTGGATGACGGACTTCAGTACTAAAGACATTTTATTTGCAATATAAAGTGAAGATGGACACTATTTGAATCAAAAAGTTTAATAAGTGGAAAATGTTTGGCTGTGCCTCATTTATTTTGTCATCTTGAAATAATATTTAACCCATGTGTGTTATCCCATGTATGTTGTCGTATCAAAGTTAGTTTCTTTGATTCAGTCAACAGTCATTTAATGAGTGTCTCCTATGTGCCAGGCTCTGACTAGGCACAAAACCAGATAAGTCAAAGTTTTTCCTTGGAGAAATTTTATAGAGAGAAGATGATTTGAGGAAAGGGACGTAGTGACAGGCAGATCAGTCCAGGATTTTAGAACTGTGTGATGTTGAAAATGCACACAGGGATGTCCTGGGAGTAGTGAGGAGGGCCATCTATTACTCAGCGACTCCTTATAATATAATCTAAGCTATTCCTTTCGCCCCTTCAATAGCTTGTATCATGGAAGAACATGATTTTGGACAATCAAAAATGATTCTTCATCTCTATTTAGGTGGTCGTTACAGACGCAGTATTTGAAAGTCTCCAATCAGAATTCTGAATTCCTTCATATAAGAGTAAATAGGTTTAATATTATGAAATAGATATAGTACTGAAAAATGTTAAACTAATAAATGGATTTCTACACTGAACTTTCCGATATTTGCTTGTAATTAGGCTAGTGTGTACACTATGTGAGGGAAAAAAACCAACCAACCAACCAGCTGCTCAGAGATGTGGTTCAGGACTGTGAGGAATGAAAGCAGAGAAGAGTAAGGGGCAGAAGCTCATCTCCAGCCATAGTTCAGCTCCTCCTGGGCAACAGCAAGGAATAGGAAGGATGCCATCTGTCATTTCCAGTAATTGGTCCTGGCATTTATCTGAAATCCTATTTCAGACCCTGTGTGTTTTAGATGTTTTAAATTGAATGCCCTATTTCCAAGGCTGTAAATCTTTAGGGAAGCCAACTGCCACGTCTTTCTCCTACAGAGTGGCTGGTGGGTTCGAACTACTGAGCTTTCGGTTAGCAGCCAAATGCTTTAACCACCCACCAGTGCTCCTTTATCTACTATTATACTTCCTTTTTTTATTAAAGGTTCCCGCGAAGCCCTGGTGGCACAGCAGTTAAAGCTCTTGGCTGCTAACCAAAAGGTTGGTGGTTCGAACTCACCAGCCATTTTGCGGGAGAAAGATGTGGCAGTCTGCATCCGTAAAGATTTACAGCCTTGGAAACAGCTGTGGGGCAGTTTTCCTCTGTCCTATAGGATCGCTATGAGTCAGAATTGACTTAATGGCAACAGGTATGATAATGGTAGTTAAAACTACTGATACATATAAATCTGGAAATTGAATGCAAGTCCAAATTGCTAACACGGTCAGAGGTTTTTCTCTATGAACTATATGCTCAGGTTTCAAATGATGTAAACATATCAGATAGTTGGGATGATGTGAGTTTATTCTGCTTCTGGATCCTCAAGAGAAAGTTAAAAATATAGCAGTGTTAGCAGCAACTTCACAGGAAGACATTATTTACCTCAGTGCCTAAATTTAATTCTTAGAACACAGAATAGCAAAGTTTAAGTTCTAAAAATAATTCTAAGCCTATGGATAATGGCGTAAAAAACGTTGTTTTCTTTTTTCTGCTTATTGACAAAAACATCACAGAAAATTCTTTGATTTCCCTTAATAGGGTCGAGAGAGCCTGTTCCTATCAATCACTGAAGGCATAAGGAAATTTTTTTTAAAGTTAGACTTTATCACAATGAGGTAAGTACCAGTATTTTCATCTGAGAAAAAAAATTTTTTTCAGAGGTGTTTTTGTTTCCTTTGAAATAAAAGTTCTTACTTCAGCCAGGATCTGTTAGAAAATACTGTAAGGCCTCTTTTAGGTATGATCTGTTGAAATAATAGTACAGGGTATAGAATGAAGCCAATACCTATAAAGGTGAAGTATTGTCATAGACTCAAAAAAACTGAAAAGAGTAGAGACAATGCAGCAGACATTCAGAATACAAGGTGTCTCACATATGACAGTCAGGAGTTTGGTTCTGAGCCTCCACTGTTTCTGTGCTCAGGAAAAGTCATTTAATATTCTCAATCTCAGCTGTCCCATCTATAAAATGGGGTTGTTGTTATTGTGTGCCATGGAGTCGATTCTGACTCATAGTGACCCTATAGGACAGTGGAACTGCCCTATAGGGTTTCCCAGGCTGTAATCTGTACAGGAGCAGATTGCCAGGTCTTTTCTCTAATGGAGCTTCTGGTAGGTTCAAACTGCCCACCTTTTGGTTAGCAATCAAGTGCTTAACTGTTACACCACCAAAGTTCCTATAAAATGAAGTAGGTGTATATTAATTACCTTATTTCTAAAGATACAACACATTGCCAGTTTGAGCTGTTGTGTAACATAAAGGGGAAAACCTCTGACAACTTTCATTGCTGAGGAATCTGAGCTCTTGAGGGCAGGAACTGGGCCTGCCTGATCATCATTCTCTCTGGCACCTGTCAGTGCCAGGCATGTGGTGAGCACCTGTAAATATTTCTTGACTGATAATCACCATGGATATTTTGACCTTCCCCTGATAAAGTTAGAGAGCTCATATGAAGTGGGATTTTTACCAGTTTGAAGTTTTTAGTATGCATCTATCTTAGGTTTGTTATCTAAAGATATTTGTGTCATAATTCATCTGTATGAAATCCATTCTCTTAGAGGAATGATTTTAGAATAAAGTGAGTTTATCGCTGAAAACCAGAATTCGGTAAAACAGAGTTCCATAGACTATCCCAAGAATCTGTTGCCTAACCATCATGCCTCCTCTCCATTTTCCTGTGACTAAAACAGAGGTTGAAATGAAAAGCTCCAGGATCCTGGAACAGAGAAAGTAATCTATTTGCAATTTTTTTACTTGCTTTCTTTTTGACCCATTTCTGGAACTAATTTTGCTTGGCACTGTACTGAGCTAAAAACACTTTTCTATTTCTAGCCTTTCTTCTTAGGATGCATTGACTTCTTGGATCTTTACAAGGCATGGATGTGTCTCTTACGAATAAGGCCGTTCTTACTCTAGCCCTAAACATCGGATTGGCCATCAGATTGGCCATCTCTAATCATCATCATCATCATTTTCATCACAACAGTAGCTACAATTAATTGATGATTCCAGGAGAAAAGTACTAGGTTAAAAATAACATTTCCCTAGTGTAATTCAAACCTGTGGACTTTGAAGGTAGAAGGGGCCTCATTGTCTGCCTCAGTAACAAATGGGTGGATTGAAGGAGGCGAGCAGTGCTTTAAAAACACTTTATACGTAGTATCTACATATGTTATTTCTCTTTTAATCAAGGGTAATAAAACAAACTCTACTTAATTGATAGTAGCTACCGGAAGCCGTATTGAAAAAGAATCAGATGCTTTGCATAGGCTTAAAAAAACCAAGCCAGTTGCCATAGATTCTGACTCTTGTGTTTCAGAGTAGAACTGGGCTCCATAGAGTTTTCAAGGGCTGTGTTCTTTAGGAAGTAGATTGCCAAGCCTTTCTTCCAAGGCACCTCTGAGTGGATTTAAACTGCCAACCTTTCAATTGGTAGCTGAGCGCTTAACCATTTGCAGTACCCAGGGACTCCTTGTACAGGCTTAGCAAGGAAAAAAATGCCAGGACTGATGAGCAGCATTTGCTGTGGATGAAGAGGTGTGATTGGGAAGAGAAGTAGAGACACAGGTACCTAGTGTCACATACCCCTCTTTTAAATGGTGCTCGTGTTGGTCTTTCTAACCTGATTTGCCTATAAAGAAATGGCTTGCTCTTAACTGGGCTGTCAACAGAAGGACCTGATCTTTAATGTAACTAGAACAGAAATTCTTTCTTCACAGTTAATAGAAGTGACCTGGTACAGCACCATCTACCTATTTAAATGTGATATTGTCATAAATGTAAATACTTCTCAGTACCTGTTAGCAATTCTTTTCTAGAACCGTAGTTTCCAAATGGAAGACTAGGCCTTCTAAATGACAGAATTTAAACTGGCTATCAAAGATCATATATACATAGCCAGTTATACTGTCAATAGAAAAGGTGGATTACTTTAACTATAATAATCTGTCCATAACACAGTTGATGTAGATTGCAGTCCTCTAAATGATCAACACATATCACTGTACAATTGGTCATAAACACTGCAAGATCACAAGATGAATCTGTGATACCACGTGAACTCTTTATTATGTGTATTCTTTTCCCTGCTTGTTTCCTGCCTTTCCTACTACATTAACACGAAAAGATTTATGAAAAGAGTAATGGGAGTTAAGAATATGCTTGTAAGAGTAGATGGATTCCTTAGGAGGAAAAGTGAGGAGATACCATTTAGGAAGGAGAGGATAGAAGTGGTAGAAGGTAAGAAGAGCTGTATGGCACTTTAAAATACCAGTGAAAAGAACAAATTTCCTGACTATGGGTAAAATCCTAAAGGCAAACTCTCCCCAGAGTACTATGTAGCACCTAAAAAGACTTGTGAAGAAAAGTAACCTTTCATGTACTATTTCTGGCATTCTGTATTTTGCAATGAAGTAAATTCTAGTTTATCCTGTATAGCTGTTTAATGAGAAAAAGCTTACTATGGGCAGTAATGAACTGACTCGGGCAGCGTTTTGACTTAGTTTTCTTTTTCTGCTGATTATCCTGAGAACCATAGTTTGTTTTTTTCACTTTCTGAAGCCAAAGTAAATTTTATTTCTCAAGTAGGTAAGACTTTTTTGTCTGCCTGTTTTAATCATGTATACTGCCTGCAGGATTAAGTAATACAGCTTCTGGTTATGGCACCTCCTAAAAGTTTAAGGAAATTCACAAGGATGATGTTATCTTAAAAAAATTATCCTCCCTGAAGCCAAACCAGCTCATTCTCCAGGAGCACCCATAGAACTAGGGATGTGCCAAAGCATTGTAATGCAGAATATCCTTGAAAAGATGTGAAAACATCAGAGTTCTGGACGACCTTCTGTTTTATCAAGTGGCTCAAACACAGAACTGAAAGTAAAGGTGTGACCTGCGAGGTCTCTGCTTGAGGCTACATTTCATGACTTGCTGTTCTGGTCACCAGATGGATGATGACCCAGGTCCTCTGTAAGGAGAGGTTTCTTGGGTATTGTCTAGTCTTAACTGGGCCTTCATTTGCCCTGAATTTACATTTATTCTTTTAAAGTTTCAGGCATTTCCTATCTACTGTGAAGTTTGAGATAATTTAAACATAGATTCCTTCACTCCATTCATTATAAAGTGTTGTGAGCACACACTCAGAAAATGGGCCAGTCACTGTTTGGATTACAAAGGCTGACAGAAACTGCCCCCAAGATACATTAAGACTGAAAAAAGGAGATAGAGGCACAGTCAATAGTTGTAGTACCTAGAAAGGAGGTCTGGTAGCACTGCATTCAGAGCTCACAGGGGCACTGAGGGTGCAGTGGTGAGAGAAACATTCAGAAGGGACATGGTGTTTGAAAGAGACTTGGGTGGGAGGCAAGGAGGAGTTTGTAGGTAGAGAGAGGGAAGGGCTTTTTAGACAGAGTTAATGGTATGTACCAGCTCAAGGAGTCACGGATCAGCATGCTGTATGTAGTAGGTACCGTTTGTAAGACAGTCCTTTTGGAATTTGACACCACAAGCCCCTTTGCCTCAGTTTGAATGATTTCTGTCATCGGTGTGCCATAAAGCCAGCCAGAAACTGCTCTTCCATGTAGCTGTCTCTTCCAGCTGTCTTCTTGCATGTTCATATAAGGAAAGCCCAGATTCTGGATCAGCCTCTGCATTGCACCTGGGAATGATTTTAGCTCTTGACAACCGAGGCCCCTTATCTGAGCATCTGTGTTCTACAATCATCAGTTTTTAGGCAAGTACATATTTTGGAGGATGATCCAGTCTGCACAGTATAAGGCAAATCTCATAGGGCAATGGCAGAATAGTTACCGTTCTTCCACCATCTGTGGAAGATGAGAATGACAGCTTCTTTTTGTACAACAATCAAGCTGTTCATTGCTTTTCTACCTTATGAGTCACAGGATACAACTAATCTTTGTTCATGCTGTGCTGTGGCATATTCGTTTTCAACTTCTCTCTGGGTAATTATTGCTTCTTCCATATGAAGGAACTAGGCCTGAGGAAAGAATTCTGTATTCACTAGGGAGCTTTGGTAGATGATGTAGTGAGTAACGGAACAGCAGGTCTTTGACAATTCAAATTGTCTAATTCACTTAAAGACATGCATGAGAGAATTTGCAACTGTTGCTTTAAAGAGTATGTATTATTTACTCTCTCTCTATCTTATCTCCACATTTAAGAAAATTTCTTGAAATTTCAAATAATGCTCTTCCAAAAGCTACTTCACTTCTCAGATGTTTAAAGATCCTTGACATAATGACCCAGCAGTTCTACTCTTAAGCATATACCCAAGAAAAGTGAAAACGTATGTTCATCTAAAAACTTATACACAGAAATGTTCATAGAACGTTATTTGTAATAGCCAAAATACGGAAACAGCCCAAATGTCCAGCAACTGATGTGTGAATAAACAAAAGTGGTATACCCATACAATGGATTGTTACTCAGCAATAAAAAGAATGAAATATTGATACGTATTACTCTGTGGGTGAACCTTGAAAACATTATGCTAAGTAAATGAAGATATTCACAAAAGACACATACTGAAATGTCAAAAATAGGCAAATGCGTAGAGACAGGAAGTAGATTAGTGGTTCCCTGGGGCTTAGGTGGGACCTG